TGCGAATCCAAAGAACCATTGCATATGAACTCATACACAAGCAACCTCCTCCCATCCTCCACACAATACCCAATCAACATCACCACATTACGGTGCTGCGCGCAGCTCAGTATCTGCACCTCCGAGCAGAACTCGCGGTCACCCTGCGTGCTCGCGAGCTTATGTTGCTTCACGGCCACCACTTGTCCGTCCCACAAAACCCCGTAGTGCACCGACCCGTACCCGCCCTCCGCCAAGAAATTCCGATCCGAAAACCCGTCCGTTGCCTGTTCGAGCTCGTGGTACGAAAATACCCTCGGCGGATTCCCAAACACGGGCGATTTGTTGTGGCATATTGAACAGAGCGGCGGGGGGTCGTGGGGCCCGCCGCCCCTTCTTCTCAACGACATTATGTGCCTCAAGTTGTTGCGCGAGTCCGGGCTCGAGTAGGATATGCTCGTGGAGCGAGAGCTCGGGATTTGACTGCCCGTGTAGTCAGAGTCCGTTTGGTCGAACTCGGATTCTCGGGAAGAGTAGGATGGTTGTAAGTTGAAGGCGTCGAGGTTCGAGAGAGAGGTGGTTCGGTCTGGGCTGGCCGTGGGGCTCGCGTTAGGGGGGACATTGTTGTTGTCGAGCTCGTTCGTAGAGTGGTTTTTGTTGGGTTCTATGAGGTTTAGTTGAAGGACTTTCGGCTCCGAGTGTTTGACGACCACAATGTTGCAGTCGAGCTGCTCCGTGCAAACATGGGCTTCCTTTGTCATGTGCCTGCCGATCGAGTAACCGAATAATAAGATGATAAAATTGTACAGTCTCTTGGTTTTATTGTCAAGTAGCGAATGCAAAGATAGAAATATAGCCACTTTTTCCAGAAGTATGAATAATAGTCATTTTGCCCTGTGTGAACTGTAACACAATTATTTTTACTATCAAAAACTGGATTTTCAGAAACAGTTTTTTTATAGTAAGGGTAATTGTGTCATTTCACGTGGCAAAATATGACTGTTCTTTCGTACTTCCACAAAAAGGGGCTATTTTCTCTCTTTTTTTAAAAGCTGCATGGTACATACTTGTCTAATACGACCCAATGTGCTTGAGCTCTCTTTGCTTCGGAAGCCACTGCGCCGTGCGTGGAGTCGAATACCACTTTCACCTTAACCGTTACCTATCGGAAATGAAATGGTTGTAAATTGCTTCTATCAAATGTTGGATATAATTAGACCTCGATGCCAGCAAAAGGATATTATTTAATTGCCAAAAATTAACTAGCACCTTTTCTGGATCGTACAAATCGTGAAGTTGGGATATCATCTGGTTACATTGCTCAGTAATGTATTCCTTCTGTTCACTAATTGTTCCGGACATTAATCTCCAGTGGCCGGCCGTGCACTCGTTGTGAAAGTGAAAGTGAAAGTGCGCTAAGTGCCATAAGCCTTTAATTACACAAATAATAACAGATGAGAGCTGTTTAGATAAATTTCTGAATTTTGAGAAGTAGACTCATACATAAGACTATCATTATATAATAAAACTAAGTGAAGGAAACCTGATTATTTTGACAGGTGCTCATCAATAATTAAAGTTCAGTCACTCCACATAAATGAACTCTAAACT